TCAGAATGGTCTAATTTATGAAGATGGTAAATTATGGAGAACAATGGGCAACTACAAATACTTTGGTTTGCATTGTTAAATAGTATTTAAAAAAAAAGTCCTTAATATCCATTCTTGGTTATTTGCAGCTTCTTGATGTTAATGTTGGGTATGATCGTAACAATGAGTCCTTGTATTTAGAAAAGACCACATGCCGTATATCCCCTAAACTTTTATACTCCCTCCTTTACGAATTACTCGCAACAAACTAGGAGATTGAGGGCTCTTAGGCAAAATATTGAAAACATGATTAATGAAAATTAAGGGTATACATTTAAGTATTAATCCAACTTAAAAAAAATAAAATAAATCAAAGCTCACAACCCAACACCATGAATTCACGAACACCGGGCCACCACCACCCATCACCACCACCTAGCACAACGAAACCACCCAACACCAGCATCTAGCACCGCGAAACCACCCAACACCACCACCTAGTACCACAAAACCACCCACCACCAGAACCTAAAACCCACAACTCGAACCCAGAACCCCAAAACCCACAACCTCGAATTCGAACCCAGAACCCCAAAAACCATAACCTAAAACCCTGAACTCGAACCTAGAACCCCAAAACCTTGAACCCATAACCCCAAACGCGAACCTAGATACCCAAAACCCACAACCCACGAACCGACGAAATGGATGTAAATGACAAACTAATGCCTTCTCTATGGTCAATTTAAGCTTCAATTGGTCAAATTTAAGCTTTAGAGGCAATGACATAATAGCAAGAAGAGGAGAGAGAGAAAAAGAGTTCCAGCGATAAATAACAACAAAACAGCAACGGGATGTCGGTAGTGAGTTTCGGCGACGATAGCGATCGCCATGGATGCGGTGGAGACCGGTCTGGGTAAATAACGTGGAGGTAGTGGTGGTGGTGGTTGCATTAGTAGAAAATAATAAATGGCAAGCAGTTCAAAACTCTAATGGGAAGCGGTTTTTGAACCGCTTGCACTTAGGGGACTTGCCATTGTCCATTTAATTAAATGGCAAGCGGTTCAAAACCGCTTCCCATTTGAAGGTAATGGCAAGCGGTTTTGGCTGAACCGCTTCCCATTACACCTATAATAATAATTAAAAAACTGTTTTTTATCAATTAAATTGATACACAAGAACTTAAATATTGATAAACATAACTATTTTCAATTTTTCACTAATTATTTGTTGAATATTACATTTCCATGTAAAAAAAGAAATTACATTTCCATCAAAATACATAAATTAATTCCCTTAAAAAAACATAAATTAATTAATCAATGATAAATTCATTAAAATTTATTGTTGTTGCTGCTCTTGTTCAAGAGCCAAAGCACGCACCATGCACCAGCACGCACCACTCAGCCACGCACCACCTACCCTCAGTCCTCATCCATGTGCAACACCAGCCCTCAGTCCCCTTTCACGTATCACCACCACTAACACTAGTAGAAAAAACGTAATGGGAAGCCCCAAATGGCAAGCGGTTTTAAAAATAATCCGCTTGCCATTTACCAAATTTTTTAATAAAAAAAACCTCTAATATTGAATGGCAAGCAGTTTTGGCACAAACCGCTTGCCAATATATATAGTGACAAGCGGTTCAGACAAGCGGTTTAGGGTTGAACCGCTTTCCATTAGATATATTGGTAAGCGATTCAACCCCAAACCGCTTGCCATTTAAAAAAAACCCCTAAAACTAATAGTACTTGTAGCTGCCCACCCCTCCCTTCATTTCTTGATTCTCTCTCCTCTTTCTTTACTCTCATTTTCGCTTCTCTCTCTCCGTCCTCTTCCATATCTCCCATTCTCCCTCTCTCTCCTCTTCTCTTCCCTTTTCATCTTTGATCTCCTTTTCTCTTCTTTGTCCTTCGCTCCTCTCTTCTTTCACTTTCTCTTTTTCTTTGTTCTTTTTCATCTTCACAAATTCGAACCACAAAAGGATAATTTCGAGCAAATTCGACCAAAACCCCAAGTAAAATTTCGAGCAGATTTCGAGGACAATTTCGAGCAATTTCGAGTACAATTTCGAGCAAATTCGTGCATGCGTGTGGGTGTTCAAGTTTTATAGTTCAAATCCGACCATGAAAACTCTAGATCTAGAGTTTTTATGGTCGAATTTGACCTTTAAAACCATAATTTCAAGCCAAAATTGGCGTTTTTATGGTCGCGGATCTGGTTTGGGTGGAGATTGTGGTGGGTTAGATGGTTTTTTTTAAGGTGGGTCTAAGGTTCTATTTTTTTATTTCGATTTTAATTTTGATTTTAATTTGATTTTTGGTGGGGGTCGTGGTGGGTGGGGGTCGTGGTGGGTGGGGGTCGTGGTTTGGGTGGGGATCTGGTGGATGGGGGTCGTGGTTTGGGTGGGGGTCTGGTTTTAGTAGGTAGGGCCGTGGTTTGGGTGGGGATCTGGTTTTGGTGGGTGGGGGTCGTGGTCTGGGTTTGGGTCATGGTTTGGGTGAGGATCTAGTTTTGGTGGGTGGGGGTCGTGGTTTCGGTGAGGGTTTTGGTGGGTGGGGGTCGTGGTTTGGGTGGGGATCTGGTTTTGGTGAGTGGGGGTCGTGGTTTCGGTGAGGGTTTGGTGGGTGGGGGGTCGTTTATAGCTATAATGGGCAGCAGTTTGGCGCCAAAACTGCTACCCTTTCATTACAAATGGCAAGGGTTTTGAACCACTTACCATTTAAATGGCCAATGGCAAGCCCCCTAAGGGCATGCGGTTCAAAACCGCTTCCCATTAACGGTTTTGAACCGCTTCCCATTAAGTACTTTCTACTAGTGCAACCACCTTTAACAACAAAAAAACCTACCTCACCCGCCACGAACCCCACGAAAACCCCTACCCGAATCAAAGTCGGCTGAAAATAAAAAAAATGATGCACCAACCCATCACCATAAAAATTCAAAAAGAAATTTCAAAAAACAAAATAAATGAAAAAAAAGGGAACATACCTTGAATGGAGGGGAGAAAGGAGAGAGAAGTGAGGCGTGGGAGTTTGCTCAGCGGTCGGTCGGTGGTGCTCCGATTAGATCTAAATTAGGCTCGTCGTTGTTGTGGTAGGTGATAAGAGGAGAGAGGAAAGAGAAGAAGATGGGAAAAGGAAAGGGCGTGAGAATGGAGGGGGAAGAAGAGAGAGAAGTGAGGCTTGGGAGGAGAGAGAGCGAACTGAGAAATGAGAGGAGAAAGAACGTGAGAAATGAAGGGGAAAGGGGAGAGAGGAGAGAGAATAAGGGGCATGAGATGGAATTTTAATTTTTTAGGGGCTTTTTTAGCTAATGGCAAGCGGTTCAATGTTCAAACCTCTTGCCATTTACAATTTTGCAAGTGGTTCACCCAAAATCGCTTGTCGTTTGCTTGTTTCATTTTTTTGGGTATTTTTGGAAGCGGAATTCAATAACCGCTTGCCATTTGGGGCTGCTCATTTACTTTATTCTACTAATGTTACCAATGAAGGTGATGATGAATTTAGATGGAAGGGGAATGATTTTGGTAGAAACGGTTAAAATAATCAATGAAAGGGTTTAAGTTAATAAGATATAATCAATAGTTTAATTGGGATGTTAAAAAAAAAAGTAAGGTAATGTTGTAAAATCACACAAAAAAAAAACTTATCATAATAGAAAAGAAAAAAGTTTGTTGCGAGTAATACGTACCGTCTATTTATAGTAATTGTTGCGAGTAATATGTAACAGAGGGAGTAATTATCTTTTGTTTAAAACAATATGTTATATGTTGGTAGGTGTAATTAAATAAGAAATCATATGATTAAATCCATTGATAGTAATTTAAGATGAAAAAAATAATAATAAATAACCTTAATTCCAAAATAACATAATGCATTTAATTTGGGGAAATCAAACACAAATATATTTGATTTTGTTGGATATGATTATATGAACCATCCCATATTTCCTTTAGATAAAAATACAATATACTCTGTATTTGATTAGGAGAATCAGACACAAATACATTTTGACTTTTTGGATATGATTAACTATCACATATTTTTCCTTGAGATAAAAACATAATATATTTGATTAGGGAAATCAGACACAAATACATTTTGACTTTTTGGACATGATTAAGGGCCTGTTCATATTTACTTATTTTCAGTTCAGTTCAGTTCCAATCAGTTCAGTTCAGTTCAGCTCCAATCAGTTCAATTCAGTTCAGTTCAATTCAGCTCTTAATTTCCCTCTCTCATAAAATATTAATTTCAGCTTAGTTCAGTTCAGTTCAGTTTAGTTCAGTTCAGTTCAGTTCAGTTTAGTTCAGTTCAGCTTCAATCAGTTCAGTTCAGCTCCAATCAGTCCAGTTCAGCTTAGTTCAGTAAATATGAACAGGCCCTAAACGAACTATCCCATATTTCCTTGAGATATTATATTATCAAACACAAATACATTTTGATTTTTTGGATATGATTATACGAACTGTCCCATATTTTCTTGTGATAAAAACTAATATATTCAATTAGGGAAATCAAACATAGATACATTTTGATTTTTTAGATTATACGAACCATTTTAAATGAATTGAATCTATCCAATTTTTTTTTAAAAAAAGTGATCACTAACTAGTGTATAAATGTAGCAATTGAAGCTAAGTTTTCACAATATATACTTGAAAGTTTTTTTTTCCCCTTTAAAACAAATACACACCAATAAGTTTAGCTATTTTTCTTTGCATCAAAATGCTTTCCAATATTCTATCTTTCACTATATTATCAATCTTCTCTTTAGCTTCCTTTCCCCCTCTAACTAAAGGCTTTATCGCACCATTAATCCCACCTTTATCTCCCGAATCACCACTCTACACTGAAGTACTCGAAGCCAACAACATCACAGTTCCATCAACTACAACAAACATAACCTTAGATCGAAACCATTACATGACATGGTATCTTTCAAAATTATCGTGGAAATCCCCAAACACAGTGAGTTCAATAGGTTATAATCGAGACACACGTGGACACATAGTAAAAATGAATATGGGTACTCCAATACAATCGGTGTATGGTTTATTTGACACAGGAAGTAGTTTGTCATGGTTCAAATGCAACCAAGAGCCTATTGATAAACCAAAAACCTGGTACTTTAACCAAACACGATCATCTAGCTATCAAGTTGTAAGCTGTAATGACAAGCAAAAGTGTAACACTGATAAGTACAAATGGTTTATTAAAGGTTGCGACAAAGAAACAAGGTGTTTATTTGATATTACATATGCAGATAAAGACTGGGCTACCGGATATCTGTCTATGGAACGAATCATATTTAGAATTGGTTATGTTAAGATATTGATACAATTCAGGTTTGGATGCAGTTTTCTTGACACCACCAAATCGCCGGGGATTATAGGTATGTGCTCTCTAATTCTTAATTACTCTCTCTATTCCTAAACAATTGGCACTGCCAAATTTCACACAAATGTCGATATATTATTACATTAGTTTGATCTTAAATATAAATATATATGATTAAATATTAACAAAAATATATTAAAATTTTGATATTATGAAACCTTATATTACCTATTTCGCAATATATTTTTGATAAAATTTATTATTTTTATACAAAACTAAAACACATTGGTTAATTTCATTATATAAATAGTGAAAAAAGTCAAACGTGTCAATTATTCAAAAATGGAGGAAGTATGTAAATGAACCATAAAGGCATTGTAAATGTTAGGTTTATTGTAGGTCTCTGGTTTTGATCCCCGAGCCAATTATTAGGTTTTGTTTAATTTACAATATTTTGACAAATTAAATCTAATCTACCTAAGCTAAACTTATTTTTCTAAACGAATCTAAACTTATTTTTTCTAATCAGATATGATCAAATATTATTTTTTTCCGATCATATCAAATCTAATTTAATAGTCTTATTTGACCAGTTTTAACCTTATATATACGATAATCAATAATAAAAAAAAAAAATCAAAGTAGGGTCTTATTAGATTAACAATAATATACACTTGTTCCGTTTTATTTACTTGTTACACATCATTTTGACATGCAATTTAGATATTAGACTATATAAACAGATAAATTAATCAAGAAAATTTAACCACTAGTAATAAATAAGTGATAAGTCATTTAAATTTTATAACATAATTCATCCATTTAACTAACTTAATCAATTTGATTAATTTCTTAAAAATTAGTTGACACAAAGTGTTAAATTCAGGTGCAAACAACAATGAGTACTCTCTCCCAAGACAATTGTACGCAGATGACCCCAAGTTTTCGTACTGCATATCAAGTGACCTAAGTCAAATCAATGTAATCTTATTGGGTCCTGAAGCAAGGATCCAAGGCCAACCCGTAAAAATGTTAACAAACCCCAACTATGATTTTTATTATATTGAAGTCCTTGCCATCGGAGTGAATAATGAGAGGTTAGATGTGCCACCATCAGTATTCAAGATGTCGGAATCCGGGACAAGAGGCTTCATCATAGACTCAGGCACCGCCTCAACTTGGTTAGCCTCAGAGGCTTACGACGCCTTGATGAAGAAGATGGTGCAATTGTTCGGTCCTCCAGTTCAATACACTGTCCAGGGTGACGTACATTTTGAGATATGTTACGAAAGTGGAAAGTTTGTAAATGGGAGGCCGCCTGTTATAGGATTTGAGTTCGAGAATTATTTGCTAGAGATTGAGGAGAAAAATATGTGGTATAAGGTTCCAAGTTCAACCTTGCAATGCTTGCTAATATTTAACGGACTGGACGACAAGGTATCCACCCTTGGAAATTATCAACTTCTTGATGTTAATGTTGGGTATGATCCTAATAAGGGACTCTTGTATTTTGATAAGCTCTTATGCCCTACAATATGAACTACTTGTACATGTTAATTAGTGTAATTAATGTTCATACATTTCAAATGGGAGGCTTTGGATTCAATACTTGATGCCCTGGCCTATTTTCTACAAGTATTTTTAATTTTGTGCTTTTATTAACTTGATGCCCTTATTTTTTTTTTAATGATTTTATTTACTTGATGCCAATGAACCTAAGTACTTAATTGACGGTGATAGTTTGTCACGTTCATTGATAAATTTTGATTATTAGATATGATTATACGAATCATTTTAAATGAATTGAACATATCCATTTTAATTTTTAAAAGTGATCACTAACTATTGTATAATTGTATCAATTGAAGTTATGTTTTCACAATCACTTAAAAGTTTTTTTTTTTTTTATTTTAAAACAAATACACACCAATAATTTTAGCTATTTTCCTTTGCATCAAAATGCTTTCCAACATTCTATCTTTCACCATATTATCAATCATCTCTTTAGCTTCCTTTTCCCCTCTTAATAAAAGGATTAATTGCACCATTAATCCCACCCTTATCTCCAGAATCACCACTCTACACACAAATACTCGAAGCCAAATTTAGTTATTTTCCTTTGTTTGGTGGATCTTGCACTATCACGGCAAATATAAACATCTGATATCAATGACTTTATAATTGTAGGATAATGGTTGGAGAGACAATCCAACGATAACTAATAGTCGTGATGATCTCATTTTTCTCCACATAATTGGCTTGATTATGATCTTCTGAAATAAATATGGTTGATTTCTTTCCTTTTTTATATTTCCGATTCTCATGATCCCATATTTCCTTGTGAAAAAAAACATAATTATTAAATGAATTGAATCTATCCATTTTAAATATTACTATAAGTGATTATATATACATATCAACTAAAACCAACTTTTCACAATATGCTCTTAAAGTTGTTTTTTTTTTAAATAAAAAAAATATAAAATTATTCATTTGAATTTCATACACAACCAGAAATAATTCTAGCAATTTTTCTTCACATCAAAATGCTTTCCAACATTCTAACTTTCACCATATTATCAATTATCTCTTTATCTTCCATTCCCCCTTTTACTAAAGGCTTAATTGTACCATTAATCCCACCCTTATCTCCTGAATCACCACTCTACATTGAAGTACTTGAAGCAAACAACATCACCATCCCATCAACTACATCAAACATAACCTTAGATCGAAATCATTACATGACATGGTATCTTTCAAAATTATCATCGATATCCCCAAACGAAGTGAGTGAGGTAGGCTATAATAGAGACACTCGTGGACATTTAGTACAACTGCATATGGGTGATCCTCTACAAACGGTGTATGGAGAATTCGATACGGGAAGTAGTTTGACATGGTTCAAATGCAATCAACCTATTGATAAACCTGAATACTGGTACTTTAACCAAACACAATCAGGTAGCTATCGTATTGTAAGATGTAGTGACCAGCAAAAGTGTAACACTAACAAACGGTATATCAAAGGTTGCGATAAAATAGAAGGGTGTGTATTTGATATTACATATGCAGGTAAAGACTGGGCTACCGGATATTTGTCTATGGATGACATGACATTTAGAATCGGTTATATTAAGACATTGGTGCAATTCAAGTTTGGATGTGGTTATCTTGATACCTCCAAAGTGCCGGGGATTATAGGTACGCGTGCTCTTCTAATTCTTATTTAATCTCTGCGTTCTCAAATTATTAACACAGTTAAACTTGATACAAATGTTAATACACTATTACACTAGTTTAATATAAAATGTTTATGATTAAATATTGTTAAAAAAATATCAAAAAGTTGATATTATGAAACCTTATATTAATACCTATTTCAAAATATATTTCTTGATAATTTTTTTATACTAGGGTAGCTAACGCGCGCTATACGAGCGCTATAGTTAGCCATATTCGGAATCTCTTTCGGTTGGACTTACATTAAAATTTTAGTTATTAGCAGCATAATGAGAGAAAATATATACAGAAATATATATATATATATATATATATATATATATATATATATATATATATATATATGCGGGTATAAAAGTTCACACATTATTTTTAATAGATAAAATAAAGAGGTAATTATCATTAATGAGGGCAAATAAGTAAATAACCATATATTTTATATGGTTTAGTTGTCCAAACACTATTTATTAAAAAAAAACTTGTACATAATTAATGAGGATATATATGTAAATACACATTTTAAAGGGTAGAATTGGCATAACACTATTCATAAGAGTAGTTTTATACTTTTTATAAAGTAATGAGGTACATTACTAAAAACGAGGGTCAAAGTTAGTATAAATAGTGAAAAAAAGTCAAATGTGTCAATTATTTAGGAATGTAAGAAGTATTTAAATGAACCATAAAGGCATTATAAATATCATATTTGTGTAGGTCTCTAGTTTCGATCCCCTGACCAATTATTAGGCCATGTACGGTTTCATTTACCTTATTTTGGCTAATCCGATCTTACTTTTTCGGGACGAATTTGAACTTATTTTTCTTGATTTGAATTTCTTTTTTCTTTTCTCATATAAAATTAAATTTAATAGTTTTATTTGACCACACATTGACCATATATATACGCTAATCAATAAAGAAAATATATCAGAGTGGGGTCTTATTAAATTCACATATATATAATGCACTTTCTCCGTTTTTATTTACTTGTAACACCAATAATAAGTAATGAGTTATTACGATTTAAATTTTATAACTTAATTCATTCATTTACCTAATCTAAATAACTTTCTTAAAAATTAGTTGACATAATGTGTTAAATTCAGGTGCAAACAACAATGAGTACTCTCTCCCAAGACAACTTAACCCAGACGACCCCAAGTTTTCATACTGTATATCAAGTGACCTAACTCAAACTAATGTCATCTTTTTTGGCCCTGAAGCAAGGATCCATGGCCAACCCGTAAAAATGTTGAGAAACAACAACAGTGATAATTATTTCATTGAAGTCCTTGGCGTCACGGTGAATAATGAGGAGATAGATGTGGATTCAACAGTATTCCAGATGTCGGATTCCGGGACAAGAGGCTTCATCATAGATTCAGGCACCGCCTCAACTTGGTTAACCTCGGAGGCCTTCGACGCCATGATGAAGAAGATGGTTCAATTGTTTGGTACTCCAGTCGAGTACACAATAGGTAACGCACAGTTTGAGATTTGTTACGACAGTGGAAAGTTTGAAAACGGGACGCCGCCTGTTATAGGGTTTGAGTTCGAGGATTATTTTCTTGAGATTGCGGAGAGTAATATGTGGTTTAAGGTTCCAAGTTCAACCTTGCAATGTTTGCTAATAATTAATGGAAAGGACGACACCATATCCTACCTTGGAAATTATCAACTTCTTGATTTTAATGTTGGGTATGATCCTAATAAAGGAGCCTTGTATTTTGATAAGATCAAATGCCCTAATCCTTTTATTTAGATTTGATATATAACAAAATGTTTTTTATTTTATTTTTTATTTTTTTTCATATGGGAGGTTTTGGATTCAATAATCGATGCCCAATTTGCTAAAAGTGTTTTTTTTTTTTTTGTGCTTTTATTTACTTGATTCCCTTTTAAATTTTATGATTACATGTACTTGATGCCAACGAACCTAAGTACTTAAATGATGACGATGATTATGTTGTCACATTGATTGATAAAGTTTTTTATTCTCTTTTTTTTTAATAGTAAAAATAATTTATGAATAGAAAATCATATGATATTTACAAAGAATATTTGACTTTAACAAATATATAAGGTATTAATCAATCAAAAATTTCCTTTCATAAAAACAACAATCGTCATGTAGGTGTTAGCTTGCATTATGAAATGCCTTAGTTGGAGACACAATCTAATGATCCTTTGAAATAATTATATGACAATCCATTATATTTACTATTACAAATTTAAAACTAAGAAATTTCTCTCTCGAAAAGAACAGATAATCATTATCTTTCGATGGATATCGAAAAACCATTATCTTTCGAAATAGATCGGAAACCCATTCTTTTGAAGGAGAAAGCATTATTATAAATTTGAAATTTTTGTACAGAAACAAGTATAGGGTCTTTCCATCGATAAAAACCCCTTCATAAATCAACAATGGACCACTAATATTACTGGTCCACTATAAATTAATGTGAACCATGTTTACTTAAAAGTTATATGTTTCCTTTGCTTTAATCACAAAATCCGCTGGATAATCTTCTAAATTAAGTATTTTTGACTCCTTTCCTCCTTTTTCGATTCCCATCATCCAATATTTCCTTGTGATAGTAGCATAATGTATTCAATCATGGGAATCAAACACAGATACATTTTGATTTTTAGGATACATTTATAAGCAAAATTTTAAATGAATTGAATCCATCCATTTTATTTCTGTAAAGTGATCACTAACAAGTACAGTGCATATATGTATCAATTGAACCTAAGTTTTCACAATATGCACTTAAAGTTTTAAAAAATACGTTCAATTTTCATTTACAATTATATACAAAGTATAATTTTAGCTATATTCCATTGCATCAAAATGCTTTCTAACATTCTATCTTTCACCACATTGTCAATCATATATTTAGCTACCTATTCTCCTCTTACTAAAGGCTTAATTGCACCATTAATCCCACCCTTATCTCCCGAATCACCACTCTACACTCAAGTACTCGAAGCCAACAACATTACCATCCCATCAACTAAAACAAATATAACCTTAGATCGAAACCATTACATGACATGGTATCTTTCAAAATTATCATCAGCGTCCCCAAACGTAGTGAGTGAGGTAGAATATAAACGAGAAGTAGGCGAACATATAATAAAAATGTATATGGGTGATCCACTGCAAATTGTGTATGGTTTATTCGACACAGGAAGTAGTTTGTCATGGTTCAAATGTAATCAGCCTATAGAAAGATTAGAGGGATACGATTACTTTAACCAAACACAATCAGCTAGCTATCGTATTATAAGTTGTACTGACGAGCAAAGGTGCGACATTGAAAAAGGGTATCCGTATATCAAAGGTTGTGACGATGATACACAAGGGTGTAAATTTGATATTACGTATGAAGATGAAGATTGGACTACCGGGCATCTTTCTACGGATCACACCACATTTAGAATCGGTTATTTTATGACATTGGCACAATTCAGGTTTGGGTGTAGTTATCTTGACACCACCAAATTGCCGGGGATTATAGGTACGTGCTCTCTAATTCTTAATTACCCGTATGTAAATGAACCATAAAGTCATTACAAATATCATATTTGTCACAGGTCTCTGGTTTTGATCCTCGGCCAATTATTAGGCCCTGGTTAGTTTATTTTATTTTTGATTATTTAATCTAATTTTTTCTCTGACATCTGAATTTATTTTTTCATATTTGATTTGGCCTAAACTTTCTATTTTTTTATCATATCAATTTAATTGTCTTACTTGACTAAATTTTGACCTTTTATAAACTGACTTTTAAAGTGTTACACATACAAAATACATTCAAGTTTTTAATTATTACACCTTTTTTTTTTTTGACAACAAGTTGTATTTTAATATTATATCTCTCCTTTTATGGTTCTCACTCAAAGCCACTACTACTTTTTTATTGTATTTGCCTCTCACGTTTATTACTTTTCAATAAAGTATTAACTTCACTATTTTATTCTATTTTACAATTGTTTAATACTTCAACTATCCCACTTACCTTTTAATTTATTTAAGTCGATTAAATTGCCTAAAACTATGTGTCAATTAAAGTGTAACACTTGAAAAAACTATCAAGGGAATGCGCTAATCAATAAAGAAATATCAAGTGGAATCATTTTAGATTTATAATGATACATATTTCCTCCGTTTTTGTATACTTGCAACACACCACTTTGACAAGCATTTAAGAGAGATATTAGACTAGATAAACATACAAATAAATTGTCAAAATTTTACTACCAATAAGAATAAAGTAATAAATTAACATGTTATTTGACGTGTGAATTTTTATTTTTCTTCGGTTCCATATTAATTGACATATTTTGACTTTTAACACTACTACAATTGATTTTATACATTGTCAAACATAATACGAGTAAAATAATATTGGTGGAGACAACAATGAGGACTCACTTCCAAGACAACTGTATGCAGATGACCCAAAGTTTTCGTACTGCATATCAAGTGACCTAAGTCAAATCAATGTCGTCTTATTTGGTCCTGAAGCAAGGATCCAAGGCCAACCCGTAAAAATGTTAAGAAACACCAACTCTGATTTTTATTATATTGAAGTCCTTGCCATCGGAGTGAATAATGAGAGGTTAGATGTGCCACCATCAGTATTCCAGATGTCGAAATCCGGGACAAGAGGCTTCATCATAGACTCAGGCACCGCCTCAACTTGGTTAACCTCGGAGGCTTACGACACCATGATGAAGAAGATGGTGCAATTGTTTGGTCCTCCGGTCCAGTACACGATCAATGGTACCCAACAGTTTGAAATATGTTATGAGAGTGGAAAGTTTGTTGATGGGAGACCTCCTGTTATAGGATTCGAGTTCGAGAATTATTTGTTAGAGATCAAGGAGAGTAATATGTGGTATAAGATACCCAGTTCCACCTTGCAATGTTTAAGTATACTTAACGGACAAAACGACACCATATCCATGCTTGGAAGTAATCAACTTCTTGATGTTAATGTTGGGCATGATCCTAATAAGGGACTCTTGTATTTTGATGATACGATCAAATGCCCTAATCCTTTTGTATTTTTGAAATAATACTTCATATAATATGAAGAACTTGTGTATGTTAGTGTCACTCATGTTTTTACATTTCAAATAAGAGGTTTTGGATTCAATACTTGATGCCCTAATTGCTACAAGTATTTTTTTTATTCTAGAATTTTGTTTACTTGACTTGACGGAAGAACGCCCTAATTTTTATGTTAAGATTTTATTTACTTGATGCCAACCTAAGAACACCCTAGGGGTCTTTTTTTTTCTTCTTTTGTCTGTTTCTTTTTCTACCTTTTTGGTTTGGTTTTCTCTTTTTGTAAGGGGTTTCTTTCTATCTTGCATAAAAAAAAACCTAAGTACTCCCTTCCTTATTTTTTTGCCTCACTGTATATACAAATAGGTAAATTTTATAAATGTTAACCATGCATGAATTCTCGTTATTATATAAGTGATTATGTTAGAATCGTCTCATTGTATATTTTAGGATTTTTTTTATCAAAAACTACCTAATAAAGCCCAGAATTTGTGAAAATTACCTAATAAAAAAAATTGTAATAAATTACCTAATAACATTTAAAATGTTATAAGAAACTATACAACACTTTTATCACCAAAAAAAAAATAGGAAAAATGAGAAATAATAATCTCAACTTTCATCAATTTTGGTACAATAATCCCAACTTTGAATTATGCTAGAATAATCCGAACTTTAGGGGGTCTTCTTTTTCTTCAATCCCTAACCGGTCAACAAAAGTCAATGACCTACTATATCTGGTCACTTGACACGTATCAAATTCTAATTGGTCCATAAATAAAATAAAAAAAATTAAATAAAAAATTTTTTTTAAAAAAAATTAAAAAAAAAAACAAAAAACCAAAAAATAAAAAATCTGAAAAATCTGAAAAACCCAGCCAACTTCCCCTCCTCCATTGTCCCACCATAACCTCCACCAGTACCACACTCCTTCGCCGACCTTTGATATTACCACGCCGGACCACCGCTCTTCCCACCCCAGACCGCCGCTTTCCCCCTTCTCTTAAACCCCCTCCAGCCCCTTGCGAAACCACAACAAAAATCCCCTTTCCCACTCTCGAAAAACCAACAAAAACTCCTCCTCCATCCTGAAACCCCTAGCGACTAGGGTTTTCGATGGTGGGGGAAGGGTTTTTGGGGGTTTTCGGGGGTTGGCGAGAGTTTTAAAGGGAGTGCGAGTGGTGGTGGTGGTTAGAAAAGGAATTTCGATCTTTCCAAAGGTTGTTGCCGGCGGAAAATGGAGGGGAGGAAGGTGGGTCGCATCACCGGAATCGGCGCAGGGGGGAGAAATCGGCGTTGAGGGAGGGGAGAAATTGGCGCAGGGGGAGGGGGAGTAGCAGCAGCAGCCGCCGGCAAGGTTGGGTGGCCGGAATCTGGGTTTGGCTGGGGTTTTTTTTTTTTTTTTTTGGAAAGATTTTGTGTTTTTTTTTTAATTTTGTTTGTTTTTAATTTTTTTGTTTTTATATTTTTTAACCAATAAACTCGTTACAGGTGTCAGTTTTTTTTAAAAAAAAAAAAAAATTAACCCATTCAACCGGTAACCGGTATTTGGGATTGAAGAAAAAGAAGAGCCCCTAAAGTTCGGATTATTCCAGTATAATCCAAAGTTGATATTATTCTACCAAAATTGATGAAAGTTGGGATTATTATTTCTAATTTTTCCAAAAAAAATAAGGAAATTGCTTTTAACTACTAAGACCTCTAAAAGTTTTATTTTACCAGAAAAAAAATTCTATTCTAAAAATTGTTTTTCAGAATCAGACGTCAAAAAACATGTTAAATCTAACACTTCACAAAGAAAAATCTTCGATTTTTGTGCAAAAACATGTTCACTAGAGGTGTCGGGGGTTGTTTTGGCCTTGCTCGATTTGAGGTTAGAATTGACCAAAAAATCGTAAATGCCTTATTTTGCATGTTTCACGCAATTTGAGGTCTTTTTTAGTATGAAAAACGAGACATTTGTGATATTTTTTGTCAATTTAGACATCAAATCGGTCTCAAAGGACCAAAATGACCCCAAAACCCTTACAGAACATCGTTTTTGGAACGAAAAACAAAGAATATTTAAAATTTCATTAAATTTAATGGTTTTTTTACGGGAGGTGGTAAAAATTAATTTTTAGAATTTTTATTTTTTTGTGGTAAAAGTCAAAATTACATATGATTGATGCACAAAAGTAAATATGGAGGAAGTGAGAATTCACGTGAAAATTTTAACTTCCCACAAAACATGGGAAAGACAAATTAAAAGAATACTCACACATTACGATGATAATCAACTGGCATATATTTTTTTTTTTGAGGAAAATCAACTAACATATTATTAATAATATATGAAGTATATTAATCAAAATAAAATCAAAAGTTATCAAGGATTAGGGCACTTAATCTTATCAAAATACAAGGCTCCCTTATTAGGATCATACCCAACATTAACATCAAGAAGTTGGTAACTTCCAAGGATGGATATGGTGTCGTTCTTTCCATCAAGTATTATTAAACATTGCAAAGTGGAATCGGGTATCTTATACCACATATTACTCTCCTCAATCTCTAACAAATAATTCACAAACTGAAATCCTATTACAGGCGGCCTCCCATCTATAAACTTTCTACTTTCATAACATATCTCAAAATGTACGCTACCTTGGACCGTGTACTGGATAGGAGGACGACCAAACATTTGCACCATCTTCTTTTTCATAGCCTCGAAAGCCACCGAGGTTAACCAAGTGGAGGTGGAGCCTGAGTCTACGATGAAGCCTCTTGTCCCAGAATCCGACATTTGGAATACTGATGGTAACACATCTAACCTCTCATTATTCACTGTGATTGCAAGGAGGTCAATGAAATAATTATCATTGAACATGTTTCTAAACATTGGTCCGGGTTGGCCTTGGATCTTTGCTTCAGGACCAAATAAGAGGACATTGATTTGACTTAGGTCACTTGATATGCAGTATGAAAACTTGGGGTCATCTGCGTATAGTTGTCTTGGGAGAGAGTCCTCATTGTTGTTTGCACCTGAAAATAGCACATTACGATTAAGAAAAATTAGTTGAAACATATATTTGTAAACTTAAATTATGTTTGTCAATGTATAAATTCTAAACGTAAAGTTTGTGTATGGTGTTGAAAGTCAAAATATGTCACCTAATATGAAACGAAAGAAAACAAAATATTGCGCATGTTATTTGTTCAGAACACAATACAAAATAAATATTAATAGTACTCAAATAAGGCCATATTTGGTTCACCTTAATATAGAACCTTTCAAATCAAATAAGATCCAAAAAATTAAGTTCAGATCATATATATGTTATATTTTTTATGTGCGATATTGATTTTTAATAGCTACATATCTTTAAATTTATAATGAAAAAATTATGGTAATTACATATTAATAAATACACTTTGTACATATTATATATTGTGAATTTAACAAGACCTATTTGATACTTTTTCTTTATAGATAAGCGTAAATATAAAGTTAAATTTTAGTTAAATAAGATAATAAAATTAAATTAGATCAGATCAGAAAAAATATGTTCTGAAAATTCAGATCATATAAGCAATTATAGGGCTTAATCATTTCCCCGGGGTTCAAAACCTAGGTCCTACAACAAATCTAACATTTGTAATGCCTTTTTGGTTCATTATTTACAATTAAATATATATAAATAAGAATTGGAGAACACGTACCTATAATCCCCGGTAATTTGGTGGTGTCCAAACCTGAAATTTATCAATGTCTTAACATATTTGATTTTAAATGTGTTTTGATCTATAGAAAGATATCCGCTAGCACAATCTCCACCTGCATATGTAATATCAAATCTACACTCTTCTGTTTTGTCGCAACCTTTGATATATCGTTTGTTATAAGTGTTACACTTTTGCTGGTCAGTACAACTTATAATACAATAGCTAGCTGATTGTGTTTGGTTAAAGTACCAACATCCCAATTTTTCTATAGGTTGATTGCATTTGAACCATGACAAACTACTTCCAGTGTCGAAGGAGCCATACACAATTTGTCGTGGATTACCTATATGCATTTTTACTACATGTGCACGTACTTCTTGTTTATAATCTACTTCACTCGCTTCATTTGGGGAAGCTAATGATGGTTTCAAAAGATACCATGTCATGTAATGGTTTCGATCTAAGGTTATGTTTGTTGTAGTTGATGGGATGATATTGTTGGCTTCGAGTATTTGAGTGTAAAGTGGTGATTCGGGAGATAAGGGTGGGATTAATGGTGCAATAAAGCCTTTAGTAAAAGGGGGAAAGGAGGCTAAATAGATGATTGATAATATGGTGAATGAGAGAATGTTGGAAAGCATTTTGATATTAAGAAAAATTGCTAAAATTATTGATGGTTGTACATGAAAATCAAATGAATGTTTTTCTTTTAAAATAACTTTAAGAGTATATTGTGAAAACTTGGATTTTATTGATACAAACATACACTAGTTAGTGATCACTTATAATGATTAAAATGGCTAGGTTCAATTCATTTAATAATTATGTTTTTATCAGAAGGAAATATAAGATTATGGGAATCGAAAAAAGAGGGAAAAAAAATCAAGAATATTTATCCCAAAAGATCCTCAAGCCAATTATGTGGAGACAAGTAAGAAGCGGTATGATTGTATAGCTTAACTTATTTTTGTTGAATTGTAAATCATTGGAGTGAACAATGTGGTTAAGACTTTGACCTTTATTTGTAAATGGAAGGATGGGTTATGTCTGTATGAGACTAGGCCGAAGATCACCTACACAAGAGACCACGTTAACTGACCTTAGGGGTGTATCCGAGGAAACCCATCTGATGCCTAAGTCAGTACGTGTGATTGAAGCTCAAGGAGAGAATTCAATGCATGCAAGTGTAATAAATGTGAGATTGTTTTGTAATCCCTTTGTGTTTTAATAAATGTTACACTCTGGTCTCACCTGCATATAGTTTTAGGCAATTTAATTGATTTAAATAATATAATAGGTTAGTGAGGTAATTAGAGTATTAAAAATTGTAAAACAAAGATAGTGGGGTAAATAGTTTATCAAAAAGTAATGAATGTGGGAGGAAATAAATTATATAAAAAAATAGTATTAGTGGGCTTGGGGGGGACCATGGAAGGAGATAGATATACTACCTCCATTTTGTATTTTTTGCAAGTTTGAGATATTATTTGTGAGATAAAATAATTCAAAGTTGTCAAAAATATGAAATAGATGTTGTAATGTTAAAACGTAGGTTTTTTCCAAAAAAAAAAAAAGGAAAATGTAATGCTTATTAAAATACAATCGTATTAATGTAACACTTATATTAAAACTAAGGGAGTAAATAGCTTATTTGGTATAAATTGGGGTAATTATACCTTATAGATGCGTAGGCTCTAGCCATGGGCTGATTTGGACCAAGTGGCAGTGGACTGCCCTTTGAACTTAGGCACGGAATTTGACTTTAGGCAAGGAAAGATCCTTTTGTGGACTTTTGGGCCAAAAATTTACCAGCCCAAATAAGGTTATTTGGAAACCAAACAATAAATATAATCTTTTTTTTTTTTTTTAACTTAACATGTTTATTTTATTACGTTTATCAATATTAAACTTTAATGACTAATAACTTTAATTCTTTATAGGTAAAAATTCTAAAAGTTATATACTACCTCTGTTTTAATGTATAATTTTTTAGTATAAACTTTTTATACCTTATATAAATATATAATAAAATATTTAAACGGTCAAACATGTGCATGGCAATATGGCATGTATGTCCAGTGATCACTAATTCACTAACTAGTGTATATATATCTCCACATAATTGACTTGATGATCTTCTGAATTAAATATTCTTGATTTCTTTCTTCTTTTTTCGATTCCCATAATCCCATATTTCCTTGTCAAAAAAAAATAATTATTAAATAAATTGAATCTATACATTTTAATCATTACTATACGTGATCACTAACTAGTGTATATATTTGTCAATTAAAGCCAAATTTTCACAATATGCATGCTCTTAAAGGTTTTTTTTTTTAAAAAAAAAAAACATTCATTTGATTTTCATATACAACCAGCAATAATTTTAGCAATTTTTCAACATCAAAATGCTTTCCAACATTCTATCTTTCACCATATTATCAATCATCTATTTAGCTTCCTTTCCTCCTTTTACTAAAAGCTTAATTGCACCACTAATCCCACCCTTATCTCCCAAATCACCACTCTACACTCAAGTACTTGAAGCCAACAACATCACCATCCCATCAACTACAACAAACATAACCTTAGATCGAAACCATTACATGACATGGTATCTTTCCAAACTATCATCATCTTCCCCAAACGAAGTGAGTGAGGTAGATTATATACAAGAATTACATGAACATGTAGTACAAATTTTCATGGGTAATCCACTGCAAATTGTGTATGGCTTCTTCGACACAGGAAGTAGTTTGTCATGGTTCAAATGCAATCAACCTACAGAAAAAGCGGGATTCTATTACTTTAACCAAACACAATCAGCTAGCTATCGTATTGTAAGATGTAGTGACCAGCAAAAGTGTAACACTAAAAAACAGTATATCAAAGGTTGCGATAAAACAGATGGGTGTATATTTGATATTACGTATTCAGGTGGAGATTGGGCTACCGGATATCTTTGTATGGATGACACCACATTTAGAATCGGTCCAGTTCAGACATTGGTACTGTTTCGGGTGAAAACAATGGGACCTTGCCGAAGGTCCGCTGAAACGGAGAACACTGGATTCGGTCCAAGTTATGTTGGGCCGAAGGTTTCCTGCACAGTAAACACACGTAAACTAGCCTCGGGGGTGTTGCCGAGGAAGGCCCCTCCGATGCTGAAGTCAGTACAATGTGTAGAAAGAGAACACTATGCAAGAGAATTAGTTGCTTGAGGCTTTGCTTGAATATATGAGAATATATGAATCTATCAATTAATATGAATGTATGAATATTGATGGCTTTTATACCTCTTCATACATGGAGAGGTTGGGCCTTAGCCCAATTGGCTTGCTTTGAGGGCTGACCTTTGACTTTAGCACAATTGGAGAGTTGAACCTTGACCTTGGGCTTTTAATTGGATCATTTAATGCCTAGGCCCAATTGGACTAAATTGGACCCAAACAACTTGCCCCCCAGACCCGATTTGGAAGGATGACGGGTCGGGTTTGATTTAATTCAGAAAAGGAGGGAAGTAAATGATTTAATTAATCCAAAAATTTGAATTTAAACCGTAATTAATGAGATAACAACGGTTAAGGCGGATGATTGTGGAAGTTGGACGGATAATGGGCAGTTTAATCGCAAGGTCGTGTGTTTAACGATTACTTAGTGGGGTATTTAAGAGAAATTGAAACGCGGACTCCCCGCATCCCATTCCTGGAGATATAAACAGAGGCGCGTCATCTCTCCTCACTTATTCACCAACACAAACCCATAAGCATCAGCCAGCTTCTTCTGGGTCTCCTCCAAGTCTTCCTTGGATTTCTTCAGCTCATCGGCGAGCTTGGAGGAGGAACCTTTCAGCTCATTCAGCTCCTGCTGAACTTGGGAAGCCTTTGTCTGAGCCTGGGCCACTTCAACTTTTTTGGCCATCAGTTGATCCTCAGCCTCATGGAGTTTAGCTCTCTGAGCTTCAGCAGCAGCAGCAGCCTCTGAGAGTTGGACATCCCTGGCCTGGAGCAGCTCTTCAGCAGCCATTCGGTTGGCTTCAAGAGCTTCTATTCGTTGCTGCACTTCAGCTTGTGCAGCAGCTCCTTCCTGAATACGGCTTTCAAAAGCAGCCTTGAACTTGGAGACGTCCACTCCCATGTGCTCCTGGAGGAATTTTTCCCCTTCCATCAGTGGGGGAAAAACTTCCTTTCCTCAAAACCTTCTGCGAGAAGGAAGTGTTTCCCCCACTGATGGAAGGGGAAAAATTCCTCCAGGAGCACATGGGAGTGGACGTCTCCAAGTTCAAGGCTGCCGTTGAAAGCCGTATTCAGGAAGGAGCTGCTGCACAAGCTGAAGTGCAGCAACGAATAGAAGCTCTTGAAGCCAGCCGAATGGCTGCTGAAGAGCTGCTCCAGGCCAGGGATGTCCAACTCTCAGAGGCTGCTGCTGCTGCTGAAGCTCAGAGAGCTAAACTCCATGAGGCTGAGGATCAACTGATGGCCAAAAAAGTTGAAGTGGCCCAGGCTCAGACAAAGGCTTCCCAAGTTCAGCAGGAGCTGAATGAGCTGAAAGGTTCCTCCTCCAAGCTCGCCGATGAGCTGAAGAAATCCAAGGAAGACTTGGAGGAGACCCAGAAGAAGCTGGCTGATGCTTATGGGTTTGTGTTGGTGAATAAGTGAGGAGAGATGACGCGCCTCTGTTTATATCTCCAGGAATGGGATGCGGGGAGTCCGCGTTTCAATTTCTCTTAAATACCCCACTAAGTAATCGTTAAACACACGACCTTGCGATTAAACTGCCCATTATCCGTCCAACTTCCACAATCATCCGCCTTAACCGTTGTTATCTCATTAATTACGGTTTAAATTCAAATTTTTGGATTAATTAAATCATTTACTTCCCTCCTTTTCTGAATTAAATCAAACCCGACCCGTCATCCTTCCAAATCGGGTCTGGGGGGCAAGTTGTTTGGGTCCAATTTAGTCCAATTGGGCCTAGGCATTAAATGATCCAATTAAAAGCCCAAGGTCAAGGTTCAACTCTCCAATTGTGCTAAAGTCAAAGGTCAGCCCTCAAAGCAAGCCAATTGGGCTAAGGCCCAACCTCTCCATGTATGAAGAGGTATAAAAGCCATCAATATTCATACATTCATATTAATTGATAGATTCATATATTCTCATATATTCAAGCAAAGCCTCAAGCAACTAATTCTCTTGCATAGTGTTCTCTTTCTACACATTGTACTGACTTCAGCATCGGAGGGGCCTTCCTCGGCAACACCCCCGAGGCTAGTTTACGTGTGTTTACTGTGCAGGAAACCTTCGGCCCAACATAACTTGGACCGAATCCAGTCTTCTCCGTTTCAGCGGACCTTCGGCAAGGTCCCATTGTTTTCACCCGAAACAGGTACAATTCAGGTTTGGATGCAGTTATACTGACATCAACAAATTCCCCGGGATTATAGGTACGTGCTCTTTAATTCTTATTTATGTAAATTGTAAATGATGAACTATAAAGGCATTACAAATGTGATTTTTCGTAGGTGTGTCTGGTTTTGAGCCCCAAACCAATTATTAAGTCATATTTTGCTCATCTGATTTGTTTTTTTTTTTTTGAAAAATGGAAACTAAAATTCCAACCTTTGCGCAGTCTGACAAAAAAAATCCAACCTTTAATTAATCTCACAAAAATCCAACCTTTATACATCACCTTCTCCCACAGATCCATTACCTGTTGATGACCGATTTTTGTAAGTTATGTGCCACGGGTCAGTCATTAATTGGTCAATTATTTTTTTAATCATTAAAAAACAAAAAAAAAATTAAAAGAAAAAAAATCAGAAAAACCAAAATCCCCATCCCCACCTCCTTCCCTGAACACCGCACCTAACCACCACATCCCCATCCCCACCGCCCCTAACCTTGAAACCCGACCACCTTAAACCACCACACCAACCCCCCTTACCCGAAATTGACCACCGCAACCACCTATGCCCTTAAATCCTACCACCCTTTACTCAAAACTGACCACCCATACCCTTAAATCCTACCACCCCTTACCCGAAACTAACCACCGCAGCCACCCCCAAACTCGAATATGGACTACCCCCAAACACGACCACCCACATCACCCCTAAACTCGACCACCCACGACACCCATACCCTTAAACAAGAAGAAATAGGGGCGAGTTTAGGGGTGGTCGGGTTTTAGGTTGGCTAGGGTGGTCGAGGTTCTGGGGTGGTCGGGGTTTTAGGGTGGTTGGTGTAAGGGTCGGGGTTTTGTGGGTTGAGTTTCGTGGGTGGCTGGCGTGGTCAGGTTTTAGGTTGGCTGGGGTGGTTGGGGTTCTAGGGTGGTCGGGGTTTAGGGTGGTTGGTGTTAGGGTCGGGTTTTGTGGGCCGGGGTTGGTTGGGGTGGTCGGGGTTTTAGGGTGGTCGGGCTTCAGGTTGGCTGGGGTGGTCGGGTTTTTGGTGGGTTGTTGGGGTGGCGGAATTGGTGGATTGGTGGTTTGTTGGAGAGAGGAAAGAGAAAGAGGAGTGAGAAGGGAAATTAATATAATTATAAAAAAAAAATTTAACCTGTTTAATAGGTTAAAGGTCAAATGGATCTGTGAGAGAAGGTGAGGTATAAAGGTTGAATTTTTATGATATTAATGGAAGGTTGGATTTTTATTGTCAAACCGCACAAAGATTGGATTTTTAGTTTCTATTTTTCCTTTTTTTTCCGATCAGAACAAATCTAAACTTATTTCTGATATGATTTTTTTTTTTTGTCTCATATCAAATCTAAATTTATTATCTTATTTGACCAAACTTTAACCTTATATTCATTCTTATCTATTTATAAAAAGAAAGGTCTAGTTAAATTCAAAATAGTATGTACAAAGTATATTTATTTTTAATATGTAATTATCTCCGTTAAAATAAAATTAATATTTAATCATCATAATATTTTTTCATTACAAAATTAAAGATATGTAACGACTAAAATTAATATCGCTCATACAAAAATAACATATGATCTGCACTTAATTTTTTAGGTCTTATCTAATTTAATTTGAACGTAAAGGTTCTTAATTAAGGTGAACCAAGCATGGCCTTATTTTATTCGAGTACTATTAATATTGTGTATTGTGTTTATTTTAAACGAATAACATGTGTAAATTTTTGTTTTTCGTTTCATATTAGTAACATATATATTTTGACTTTCATCACTATACACAAACTTTTCATTTGAATTAATACATTGAAAAACAAAATTTAATTTTGTTAATTAAATTCAGGTGCAAACAACAATGAGTACTCTCTCCCAAGACAACTTAACGCAGATGACCCCAAGTTTTCATACTGCATATCTAGTGACCTAAGTCAAATCAATGTCCTCTTATTTGGTCCTGAATCAAGGATCCAAGGCCAACCTGTGAAAATGTTCAGAAACTTCAACAATGATAATTATTTCATTGAACTCCTTGCCATCACAGTGAATAATGAGAGGTTAGATGTGCCACCATCAGTATTCCAGATGTCGGATTCCGGGACAAGAGGCTTCATCATAGACTCAGGCACCACCTCAACTTGGTTAACCTCGGTGGCTTTCGAGGCCATGAAGAAGAAGATGGTGCAATTGTTTGGTCCTCCGGTCCAGTACAAATATTTTGAGATTTGTTATGAAAGTCGAAAGTTTGTAGATGGGAGGCCGCCTGTCATACGATTTGAGTTCGAGAATTATTTGTTAGAGATTGAGGAGAGTAATATATGGTATAAGATACCCAGTTCCACCTTGCAATGTTTGATAATACTTAACAGACAGAACAACACCATATCCATACTTGGAAATCAACCACTTCTTGATTTTAACGTTGGGTATGATCCTAATAAGGGACTCTTGCATTTTGATAAGATCAAGTGCCCTACTCCTTTTTAACTTTCGTTTTTGTATGAATTAATACTTCATATAATATTAATAATATATGTTAGTTGATTATCCTAATGTGTGAGTACTATCTCCCATGTTTTGTGGGAAGTTAAAACTATTGTGAATCCTCACTTTCTTGATATTTACTTTTCTGCGTCAATTAAAATATAGGGTTTGTTCACATTTACTGAACTGAGCTGAACTGAATTGATTGGAGCTGAACTGAACTGAGCTGATCAAAATGAATATTTTATGAGAGAAGGAAATTAGGAGCTGAACTGAACTGAACTGATTGGAGCTGAACTGAAATTAAGCTAAAATGAACAAGCTCATAATTTGTTTTTGCTTAAACATTTTTATTACTCCATCTGTTCTTAAAAAGATACAGTAATTACGTTAGTTATTTTGGGTGTTCTCTTTTGGTGTTATGTTTGAATTATATGCTAGATTAAAACAATTTTTTAAAGATATTTTCCCTCGTACATACAACTTTCTATGCAATTAATTCTACCTACTAAAATAATTTACCTATGCCCAAAGCAAATTATTTATGTTCAACAAAAAAAAATAAAAAAATAAAAAAATAAAAAATAAAAACTTAATCCCAAGTCCCAATGTAAATGTTCCTATAATTTTCAACATTGACTAACTACCTTAACATGGATTACTTGATATATGAGATCAAATCATTGTTTACCACTATATACCTTATTTTCATGAATAACCACATATAATCACCAAACGTTATCGGGGTGGCAATGTCATCCAACCCCGAGTTTAACCGGGTGACGGATAGATGATGGATGGGTAGGGTGAGGGATTCAGGTGATGATACATCTAATTCATCACCCGACCCATTCATCTAACCATTAAATATATATTTTTAAATAAATATCATTGTATAATAATTTAATGTCTATTTAAAATGTTAGGAATTGACATGTATTTTAAGTTTTAAAGTTAGTAAAAAGGAGCAAGTATTAGAAGGATATATCAAAGTTTAATTAGTTCACCTTTTTTTTTCAAATCTTGAATTTAATTATGAAAGTGTAAAATTTCATGTATATATTTTATTTCACCTAAATTATCACTCGATTTCCAGGGATGATGGATGGATCAATATGGATGAAGGTAAATTAGGTAATGAATGGATTGGGTGAGGAATGGATCATTAGTGGATGGAGGCAGATGAAACATCACCCAACCCACCTCCAATCCATTGCCATCCCAATACGTAACAATCTTTAGGAATGGATGGATTACCATATTAAATTAAATATGAATTCAGATTAATTACACCAATAATGTCATAAGTCATAACATATAGTCAAGCACGCGTTACATTTAACTTAAGTGAAAGGATGTAATGTAATTACATTCACAGATTCACTTGGCCAAAATTAATATTGATCACATTTCCATTTATTACCATATCAAACATGGAATAAGACTATAAAAAACATCATCATAACAATCATGCATTAAATATGTAAATGTTCATAACATGTAAAAACACACATAATGTGGAGAATTGGTAACGAACTAACGAAGTCCTTAAAAATGTAATTTCATTCATAAATCATAATTCATTCAAGTATCACATATGATATTTGTTTTCCTCAACATGTTCACCAAAACTTTCCTTAGCACCATCTTTTTGGTTGTCTCTTTGGCTTCGGCCTCTTCTCCTAGCAAAGGCTTAACTGCACCTCTAATCCCACCAACCTCTCCTCGTTCTCCATTTTATACCGAAATACTCAAAGCAAACAACATATCAACAACGAAAAATGTTACTCTAAACCGAAGCCAATACATGGAGTGGCTCATAACAAAATATACACAAAACAAGCAAGGAGAGGTTTCATTTCAAAGGGATGCGGGTCATCACGTAGTAGACATGTACTTGGGTAATCCAGAGCAACGAGTGTACGGGATCTTCGACACATCGAGTGATATTGTATGGATCCAATGCGCCAAGCAAGCAAAACAGAATGAATTTGTGTACTATAACTATAGTGAGTCCTCTACTTACAAACATGTACCGTGTGATGATGTCAAATGCAACACTAGTTATGTAAACATTATAGGATGCAAAGGGAAACTACCTCCTTGCGCATTCATGGCCACTTATGAGAATGCGACGGTTGCTTATGGTCCCTTGGCTACTGATGTTGTCACATTCAAACCGGAGTCGGAGATTGTCCAAGATTTCATCTTTGGATGCAGCGTTAAGAATAGCCCCAGAATGATGGGGGCCATAGGTGAGTTTTAAACTATTCCCAAAATATATCGACAAATGTTTACTAAAAATTGATTCTGGCACACACCTCATTATGAATTTATGAGGGCACAATTTTCAATGCTCTTCTCAAATTAATGTGTCAAAACCAAATCTTTTTGTGCGTAAGTCAATTTTCTATATTTATTTCGTAGGAATATAAATAGTTTTGGATTGGTATTGTGTCCATTTGGCGGAAGTGTTCTTAGTCATGGTGGGTCATAGGACACACCATTTGTATTGAATTATTAAGCTAAGGTATAAAGTCGAAGATAATACGGAGTGTAAATAATCAAGAATTGGGATTGTGTGCATTTGGCGAATTGTGATGGATCATAGGACCCACCATTAATAAGAAAAAGAAAATGGTTTTCTATATTGGATCGAAACAAATTGAAGTTTTTTTGAAGAATCTGATTGTCGATTCGGATTAGATTAAAGGGGTAAGGATATACTCAATAGGCCAACACAACTAAGCTATTTTAATTATTTCTAAGACATATTTCAAGATTGTGAACCAATATGACCAATTTGTAACATTTTGTATTTTTCTTAATCACGTTTTAAAACAAATAATTTGACTAGGACAGAATGGTATTACCAAAACTTTAATTCAAATTAGATCTATGTAAAATTTGAATCAAATTGGACTTACCTTTTAAAAAACAAATTAAGTTTTAATTAAAGGTTTTTCTCATTGGTAGCAATAAAAGTTTGTAAATTCTCTTAAATAGCATTAGTTTTACAATTATTTCCTTGTATAGCTTTATTTTATTAAATGTGATATATTAGCCTAAAATACAATAACCATGGTTATGTAATAATAATTTACTAAATTACCCTCACTTAATTTATTGATTGATACCTACAATAATCATACTTCATCAACATTAGTTCATACGTAAAACAGGGCATCCATGGCAATCTAATGCAGAAAGTTTGTTTTTTGTTTAAAATTTAGGAAGAAGGAATTACCTTGTAACTGTAGAAATTAGGCCTTTTTTGCATATTGAGATGATTGAGGTGATGAATTTTTGATAATTGCACTTGAGTTTGAGCGATCGAACAAGTAAAAACTTAAACGCGACATTGCCACCAAAGATCACAACCATCATACCACCATAACCATCGAACCACCATCATTCATTAACCTTCAATCATCTCCGCGACACCCCATCGATCCTTCGACCACCATCTCCACCATACCCCATCGAACCACCATCAGCTGTTAACCCCAAACCGAACCCAATTTGGGCTTACCCAATTTCAACCACCATAGCCACCGACAAATTCGATTTGACCACCATAGAGTTGGGCGGGGATTCGATTGTGGCGTTTCGACTGGGTGGGGGTTCGATTGGCTAGGGGTTTGATTGGGTTGGGGTTTCGTTTGGGTTGTCATGGGGTCGGTGAGACAGGGAGACCGTGCAGGTGGTGGTGCTAGATGGGGGTTCGACAGGGTGGGGGTTCCATGGGGTGGGCGGGTTGATGATGATGATCAATTTGCTAAATATTTGTTAATTAGAAAAATATTGTCATGTTAAAGAAATTTATCAAAAGTAATGCTATTTTTGAGAATTTGTAAAAAATTTTGTTACTATTGAGAGTGTGCAATTTTACATTGCTACCAATGAGAATTTCCCTTTAATTAAAAACGGATTGGATCATCAAATAGACGACTCTACCTGAAATGACTCTCGAGATTGATATTTTCTTACCAATGCATTGTTACTTACGGAGTAGTAGTGAGCCACTATCCGTAAAATCTTAGATCCGTAATTGTCATTGATTTGACAACGCTATAGCCTATATACATACAAGTATACAACAGAGGAAAAAAGTGATTCATTTCTCCAATATTAAGCAAACAAATTTCAATTATAACATATTTATTTTTTATTTTTTTTATTTTCTTATTAACAGGTGCATCTAATAGTGGCTTATCACTCCCAAGGCAACTATATCCGGACGATCCCAAGTTCTCATATTGTATATCCGATGACCTGTCCAAAACAAGCCTAATCAAGTTTGGTCCAGCAGCAGAACTCAGGGGTGATACCCTTGACATGGTAAAGAACCTTCACACCAGTTTCTACTACCTCGATGTGGTCTCTGTCCAAGTGAACAGAGAAGACATCGATGTAAGACCAGTAGTGTTTGAGATGAACAATAACGGGACAAGAGGCTTCATCGCAGACTCTACTACCGCCCTAACTATCCTAACAACAGAAGCTTTTGATGCATTGAAGAAGAAGATAGAGCAATTCCTTGGCCCTGCAACAAAGTACGCCATTTTCGAGATTTGTTATACTTCCTCAAAGCTTGGAAAGGGGCAGGAGGATAAAAGGCCGATTATAGCACTAGAGGTCACTGATTTTACCTTAGAATTCGAGGAATTTCGAGTATGGCAGAAAATCCCAAAAGCTGACATAGAGTGCTTGCAAATGATTAGAACAATGTCAACTTTATCTGTCCTTGGATTTGAGCAGCTTGTAAATTACAATATTGGGCATGATCCTAATAATGACCTCATGTACATGGAACAGACTGATTGCGAAACTGCTAGTTAGAATCATTTTATCAATTAAAAAATATTAGTACTATTTATTTGGTTTGTCTTGGTATGATTGTTGAAAAAGATTACAAATATTCATAATAATGATTCTGTTAACTTATAATATAGATTGACCATTTAAACTAATTTTTCTCATTCCTGCATGTTAAAAATTCAATTTTGGTATACAAACACAGTACAAGAGTAACAAAACACAGAAGAAAATTAGCAAAGAAATGTTTGAAAGACAAGATAACCTGCTAAAAAAGCTTATAAAATGATAGTGTTTGCCTTTTAATGAACTTATTAGATCCCTTAATTACTTGCGGAATATTTCTTCTTTTTTTCTACTTTTGAAATCATAATCCCCAGAACAAAAACTAGGTAAAAGAAATAATTAAATCCGTCCTTTTTTATACTTCGTATTTTTTAAAAACAGAAGAAGAGCAGGCATAAAGATAAAAGGAAACGTACTTTCTTGTAAGAAGATGATTCTAACAAAGAATAAAGGTTATCTTAATGCAGCAAAGAATATTCTATCTTTACTTGCCCAACACCATTCTTCACCTTATAGAGTCTTATTACCTAGGAACATCTTCCAAGTTTTCCCAAGTAACCCACCTTTGATTATAAAGTTCCCTGACGTCCCCTGCATTTCACAACACATAATGCTCCTACGTATCTCCTCAAAATCACGTATCTGAACGATATCAATCCATTAATGGAAGAACTGCTCAGTCAAGTGAGGTACCTCTACAATCACTCCCAATAATACAGTATTCGTATTCCTCAGGGGTAAATGCTTACATTTTCGAGTTTTTATGACTAATGTTATCTAAATGCATTTTGACTAAAAAATCTCTGTTTTGTTAGGTCAAAATTCAGTGGGAGAGAAGAACTTGGAAACACCAGGTACCAAAGAACATCATCGTTTAGAGGTAAGGTTTTATGCTTTAGCAAATTGCAGAACAGTTCAGGAAAAAGAGAGAAATCAGCAGCTTTTAAAAAAAAAATGAATTCTATTAACAAATGCAGAGAGTAAACCTCAAAAGTGGCTCAGGAGACAGTTCTCACGCCAAATGAGTAACAAAGAGCCAGCTGAGGACGCAGAGTATGCTGCAGCAGTTGCAGCAGCTGCATTTGCCATTACTTCGCTTGATTCAGAGAGCCCGGATCAAAAAGCACCAGAAGCAGGACCACAATTCTCTCTTCCAAGAATCATAAGCGGGATTGTGGACAGAATTTCGGCAGCAGCACAGCCTGATGAAGCATTAAACAGAAACAATGGTAAAAGCTCAAGGCTCAAATTTAATATATAGCATTATAGCTGATTTGCATGGTTTTTATTTACAATAAGTTGAAGCATTTTTATGACTGTGTCAGATGATCATCAAGCCAGAATACCAGAGAAAACTATCCATCCAGTACCATCAATAAAAAGGATTCCAACTATGCCAAAGAAAAGACTAACCTTTGCTGATGAGCTGCAAGAAGATAGCGGGATGCCCTACAATTACATCGAAAAGTCTCCAACTTTTGATGAAGAGTCAGAAGATGCCAAAAAATTGAAACCAACCATTCCCTTCACCAGAAGGAGTCCATCTGTGAAAAGGACTCCAACTTTTGGCGAAGAACAGACACAGAATGCTAAACCCACTAAACAAGAAAGTTCAGCACCAAGACTCTATCCATCATCCAATATCCCCCCTCCACCCGCAGTTCCACCACTTTACATAGAGCCTATAGATCCACCAAAACGGGCACACAGAGCCAGGCGTGGGAGCTTTGACACAGATGCAGACGCTTGGGAGACAGAAGAAATGGCTAAAATTAAAGAAAGGTAGATGGGAAGTTTGATACCTAACTTTCTAAATGCAATAATGTAGAATTTTTAAATTTTAAAATTTGGCATGTATTCATATACACAGATATGAGAAACTGAATGCAACAATTCTGGAATGGGAAGATAAGAAGAAGAAGAAAGCCAGACGCAAATTGGAATCAACAGAGGTTCGCTTTAAATCTAAGCAAGACTCCAGTTGCTATAAATATAGGAAAGCTTTTCTAACGAAGGTCTGCTTGCAAGAATCGCAGAGCAATAAGGAAAAAAGGAGGGCTAAAGCATTGCAAAATTATCAAATTGAGATGGAACGCATAAGACAGATAGCTGATGGAGCAAGAGCACAGGCAAAGGAAAAACGGAGGAAAAAAGAGCTCAAGGTGAAGGAGAAGGCTAACAAATACCGAGCAACAGGAGAACCTCCTCTGCCTCCAATGTGCCTTTGTTTGTAAAGGCAACGAAGCAATATGGCATCTATCATCAAGTTACAACAGTACACAGAGGAACACATAAAGCCTTTGGACAAAAATAGAGCAGTTAATTCTTGTTACATTTTCATCAAAGGTGTTTGCAAAAGGACAATCAGTATGTATCATATTTAGGTGTAAATAGATTACAAACATACATTTCAAACAAGTCATATGTATAATACAATTTGAACAAAGCGTAAGGTGTGGAAATATATTGATATAACAAATCAGTAACTTAAACAGATGGAACCCTGTGTTTTTGTTACAAGCAAAATGTTTGCGCAAGGGTGTTTTTGTAACAGTCTACCATTTCATACCTATTAGGGATGAGATTGAGTAAATTTGCTTGCGGACAAGAGGCCCAAGAAAATTATTTTCCTATCAAATGCAAAAGACCACCATTCCTTTCGTTTAAGCAAAACACAATAAAGCCATGAAAACACAATTGATAAGATCTCCAAGCTAATGAAGCCAATGCAGCCTTTTATTATTTATTTTTTTGGGGTGTGAAAAACTACAGCTTGCTAATGCTACAACTAATTTAATTAATTAATTTAATACTTAATCTTTGTACCAGAAGAAAATACTCAGTAAATAAACCAGGAATCTAAAGATATGAAATCTTGTTTTACAAGGAAAATAGGGATATGAAAAGAAATTATCCATGAACAACAAGATATTATGAGGCATTAATCACATCAATTCAAAAGTTTATTTATTCAAGAAAAAGGAAAAAAATAGGGAAAAGGAAAATAACTCTGATGCATAGTATAGCATCAAAAAACAAGAAGCCCTAAATTGCGTTCTATGCTCAGGTATATATCAATAGCAACATAATCTAAAATAAAGGAGATATACATCCAAAAGCCTTTAGTTGCAGCCAAAATATTGACAATTTGATATTCTAGACTCTAGAGTGATGCACATCTGAGAATTTTGATACAAAAAATGTCTTTTGTGTTTGTGGCATATATTTTCTGATTCATTTTATTGAACACTCCCATATACACCCAGAATAATTTTTGAAATTGAGAACTATGCATATCAGTAGCCCAATTGCATGCACGGTGAATGATTCAGCATTCAACAGTATCACAATGGATAAAGTCCATAAGATGAATTCAAACACACAAAAATCTAGCAGAGGCGTATTTAGTATTTATCACAGCACAATTGATCATAATAGTCCCTCATACGGGAAGCCCATTTCATTATGAGCCTCTAGGACTCCAAATAATCACAACAAAGCATTACAATTTTGATGTCAACTGTGAGAAAGTATGCAACTTCACAGGTCTCCCATCACACTTCCCTAATCAATCAATCAATGACCAACCAATATACATGGATAATGGAGAAACTGGAAGTAAAGAAGAAACTATCTTGCAAGCCAACAAACTCAACAAGAACACAAACTGCAGAATCAAACAAACCTTAGCTTGCAATTTCTCTCAATAACCAATCCAAAGTAGGGTACGCAAAGTAGAGAACCAAAAGAGATGGCAGAGCTAATAGAACACTGACTAGCAAGTACAGGACCAATATAGCCACACTTCCTGGTATTACGCAGAATATAATCACCAAGAAAAGAATAACCAGCGGGAACTTAGAAGCAACGTGGATGAAGTAATCAAGAGACTTATGAAGTGAGAATTGAGGCCTCTCCACATTAATATTACCAGCAACACGATTGTTATTAAGGTTGCTTCCCAACCATCCTCGAGTTTGAGCATATTGAACCCTTCTAGGGCTTTCATTGTTGGGAGAACCAATAAGTGAGCTTATTCTTGGAGAAAATGATGGCCGGCTATCATCTCTTACTGAACAAGAAGATTCTGCCCGTTCTCCATTCAAGCTCTCTATCATCCAAAGGATAAAGTAGTTTTTTCGAGGAAACTTGAGATTTCCTCTATAGACCCATCTAAACGATAACAAGCTGCACCATGGACAGGAAACAAAAAACGGAAGTTTAATCTTCTGGGCAGGCAATTTCAGAACAGCCCATTGAAGTCCAAGAACACAATTCTGGCAGAGAGTGTGACCACACCATAAGACATAAGGCACATTCTCAACGATATTGAAGGATTCAAAGCAAATTGGGCACTCTAGACCTTCCTCTCTGCTAGAACTTGACCCAGTGTCATCATCTGACGAGTCAGCACAACACAGTTTTGGCTCGGTAGAAACCTTCCGAAGACGAAGATTTGGGATTGTATTTGGAAAACTCCACATTCTAACCAATGAAAGTTTGCTAGTTAGTGATTTAGTATAGTACAGTTGGAACTACTCATTTAACACTAAAGACACAACATTGAACCTACATGTCTCATAAATTTCACAGACTCTCGTCACAGATACAATGGTAGCCTACTGCATATATAAATTAGTGGATGATGCACATATTATGAGGAATTGGTACTAGAGTACTAGACTCTACTTCAACCAGAGAGCAACTTGTATTTGTTTTTACACTTCACATAGTTAGTTGAGCTATCACTCCATGATAAAAATCTATGAACTTATGATTAAACACCGAAAATACCGATGAACAAGTGTAATGTTCCAATATACTGACCTCAGAAATGTATCAATATTCAGTCTCTTTGTTTGAATGCTTTACACCTTTTTCCAGTAAATTTATCTGAGAGATGAAAGAGCATGAAACAGAAAATATGTAAGACCACACATATCTTGTACATACAATAAGGTTAATAAAAAGCACTACTAAATCATAGAGTTTGACAAATCAGCACAAACAACTGCACCATAAAATAATCTTACACTTTCATTCTACATAACCCACTAATACAAATATACAATCAACTTGATTGATTAACAAAAGTTGTAAATTTACTGTTTGACCTGTCTTCTAGAATTAGACCAATGAAACCCACTAGTAAAACCTTCACTTACTTTTGTAATATAACATAGAATTTGAACATTCATGTCATGTAACTTCCATATTGATAAAATCTTGTTTGAGACGAATTTACAATAACTTATTGTGAGATCGGGGTGACTTTTTATTTCATTTAAGATACCATGTAACAACTTACAACATCTCTTTGTTTTCTCTAAACTAGATATACCATCAATTATGAACAGGGGAAAATTGGAATTCAAGTCTATTGAATTCGCTGCTATATAAAAATGTACCAATGATAATTTCCAAAATAAATAGAAAACAAAATTCGAATTCTAAAGAACTAATTAAACCCATTAAGCTAAATGTAAATTACATAGAAATAATTAAATCAAAGGGTCAAATCTATATATGTATTTCGATTAGTGAAAGATTAGAGAAGAAAGATGTGATCTTACCCAGAAATTCGGCAGTATTTTAATGGGGAATGTGAAATCTTAATCTTGAATTTGAGGTGCCTCTTCCCTACTTCCCGGAGAAGATCAACTAATACTTGGAATTTTAAATTTCTCCATTGATGTTGATTTGTTTGGTTAACCATAATTAAAACCAGCAAAATTAGATCGTGATGTAACCAGGGTCATACGTCACCGTTTTTACCATGGAAGTAGCTGGAAAAAGAAAAAGAAGGAGGAAAAAGTAAGTCTTTGATTTAAATCCTAGACCCGTTGTGGAGCACTCGAGATACATTGAAGCCCATTTAGTCTGATGTAAAATGTTCGGAAAATATTACGGAGTACTATGTACGTGATAATACTCAATTTCTACAACACTCGATAAATCACTCGAGCTAGGACTCTTAAGAAACCGCTTGAGCCCGTTTGACACTTGTTTATGTTCTTTTATTTAGGATGGATTATATTCATTTGATTTTTACTTAGGTTAATTTGACTATACTACCAGAGTACCAGTCTATCACTGAGAGAGTGAGGGATAACTCAAGTAATTAGAGCTCCTCTTTTAATTCCAAGAGAACTTGGGATCGATTCTCATCACTAGCCATTGTGGCCCTGCTCAAAATTGGCAAAAAAAATTAACGTAAATGCATCGATTTATGTGTATAAACCTGATTCAATAATGTCGATTAAAAAAAATGTTCGATTGAAGAATTAAGGTTTGCAATTATTATAATTTTAGGAAATAGACATTGAGATTGGGATATGGGCTAGCTAGCTGCTTATTTGGGCTTTTAAAGACCATTTTAATTTTTAATAAAAGGCATAATGGAACACCCATATGACTATTAGACTATATGAGCATTCAATAGACAATAGATCCATCCTTAATGATCTATAAAATGTTTATTTTTTCCATAAATTTTAGTTTCTCCCTTCTTTTTTACTGTCATATTTTGGCTTTTATACTTTTCTAATCATTTTCCTTTGATCAGCATTTGTGAGTTATATGTGAGGAAAAACATATTTATGTGGAATTTGGTTAAAATTGTCTTTAAAAAAAAATACTACTACATACATATCACATGTACCGGGGGAGTTTTTTTTTCTAAAGGTTATACTCAATTTGAAGTATTAGTTAATTTTTAACCAATTCATGTAAATAGTATATTAGCAAAAAATTACTACTCCCACATGTTGAAATAAAAGTGAGACGAATACAAGCAATAATATCTTATTTCTATAATTTTATTAATTGAGATTTAAAGTTATTAATGGTTAAAATTATATTTTGGCAATCATGATAAATGAAACAAGTCAAGTAAAAAAATAACTGAAAAGGTATATATATCACTCAACAATAGCCTCCTAAAGATATTGAACGATAATTTATTTTATTTTTATTTTTTTTTTAAAAAAAGTGATATTTAAGGATAATAGACAACCATAGAAAATATATGGATATGCATACACTATATGATTTAGTTATTTGGTCGGCATACAAGGGCAAAAGAGGTCCTATATTAAAACCAATTAGTGATAGTGGCATTAACTGATTAACTCTTCTACCTAATAAAATAGAATCATCTCTCTTCTTTTTTCAATGTGGGACACTCACAAAAGTCACAAGTGGGTTTACATTGAGTTTCAACACTTTCACTAAGAGTACCCACGACAGTGAGCAAAAATATACTTATGAGCATTTTGGTGAGCAAAAAGCATAAAATACTTCATCCCATCAATGAGCATAAGTTAAAATGCTCGTAACATGAGCAGAATTTTATATGAACAATACTAGTGGGGCAAGGCTGAAATTCATTAATAAAAAATTATTAAATATGAATAAGGTAATGTGTAAGATAGATAAATAATGTGAGTAATCTAAATAAACATTGTTATCCATAACTTAACCATGCAATGGATTTTGTTGGCCAACAAGGCCACACTTTCAATTCTTTCTTATACTACGTAGGTTTTTCTCCTTTATTTATGGGCCGATGATGTAATTTCTCTTATCATCTGTGTGGATGATTTAGATTGGCCCTTTGTTAGAAATTCACTTGATTTTTCTACCCTAATAAATAAAGAGAAAATGATACATCCTCTATCCTATTCTAAAATTGCAATGTAGAAATTAAAGGGGATGCAAATTATATCATTTACTATTTACTACTACTGTTTTTTTAGTCCTGTCTTTTTTTCCTTTTGTTACACATTTTGTAATATGAACATTAGTTCTCATCTTTGATTGAAAGATATTTTTTTACAAGAGGTGTATGCTTAATTGCTCATATAGTCATATTGTTTATTTAATTTTATACTTTAGTGAGAAAAAGAAAGATCTCATTTTACTTCAAGAAAGATCCCTTTTATAAGTAGAAATAGAGACGACGCATATCAATTAGTATTATGTGCATCATGGTCCACCTAGAAATAGGTGCACCACGAACATACTTTTGAACATTTAATAATAAAAAAAAAATTGAACATTTTGCAAAAAATGAATATTTAGTAAAAAAAATGAACACGTCACAATAATTGAACATAAACATGCAATTTTTATGTTCATATTTTATTAAGAAATGTTCATTTTGTATACATTAAATGTTCAGTTTATATTACAAAACTATTGAATTATTACGAGTTAGTTTAAAATTTGTCAATAATTCAAAATTTGCGATTGTTCAGATTTTTTTTACTATATGTTCAAATTTTGGTATTGTTCATATTTTTTTAATAAAAGTTCAAAATTATAGGC